AGCGACGCGGCGAGCGCGGCACAGGCGGACTCCCCCACAAAGTGTTGCCAGTCCCTCTTGCCGCACGGCCGCGACTCGCCGCCGTCTGCTGCCCTGCTCGCCTCGCGCGGCGGCTCGACGATGCCGCCGACAAGCTCGCTCGAGCGCGGCTCGCACCAGACGTGCGGCTGGTCCCGCGGTTCCTAGCCCCGACGTGCAGCCGAGGTGCAGTCGAGGTGCGGCCGAGGTGCAGCCGAGGTGCGGCCGAGGTGCAGCCGAGGTGCAGCCGAGGTGCGGCCGAGGTGCAGCCGAGGTGCAGCCGAGGTGCAGCCGAGGTGCAGCCGAGGTGCAGCCGAGGTGCAGCCGAGGTGCGGCCGAGGTGCGGCCGAGGTGCGGCCGAGGTGCAGCCGAGGTGCAGCCGAGGTGCAGCCGAGGTGCAGCCGAGGTGCAGCCGAGGTGCAGCCGAGGTGCAGCCGAGGTGCAGCCGAGGTGCGGCCGAGGTGCAGCCGAGGTGCGGCCGAGGTGCAGCCGAGGTGCGGCCGAGGTGCGGCCGAGGTGCGGCCGAGATGCAGCCGAGGTGCAGCCGAGGTGCAGCCGAGGTGCAGCCGAGGTGCGGCCGAGGTGCGGCCGAGGTGCGGCCGAGGCCTCGGCCGAGGTGCGGCCGAGGTGCGGCCGAGGTGCGGCCGAGGTGCGGCCGAGGTGCAGCCGAGGTGCAGCCGAGGTGCAGCCGAGGTGCAGCCGAGGTGCAGCCGAGGTGCAGCCGAGGTGCAGCCGAGGTGCAGCCGAGGTGCAGCCGAGGTGCGGCCGAGGTGCGGCCGAGGTGCGGCCGAGGTGCGGCCGAGGTGTGGCCGAGGTGCGGCCGAGGTGCAGCCGAGGTGCAGCCGAGGTGCGGCCGAGGTGCAGCCGAGGTGCAGCCGAGGTGCAGCCGAGGTGCGGCCGAGGTGCAGCCGAGGTGCGGCCGAGGTGCAGCCGAGGTGCGGCCGAGGTGCAGCCGAGGTGCGGCCGAGGTGCAGCCGAGGTGCAGCCGAGGTGCAGCCGAGGTGCAGCCGAGGTGCGGCCGAGGTGCAGCCGAGGTGCGGCCGAGGTGCAGCCGAGGTGCGGCCGAGGTGCAGCCGAGGTGCGGCCGAGGTGCAGCCGAGGTGCGGCCGAGGTGCAGCCGAGGTGCGGCCGAGGTGCAGCCGAGGTGCGGCCGAGGTGCAGCCGAGGTGCGGCCGAGGTGCGGCCGAGGTGCGTCGGGGGCGATTGTCCCGCGCCTCAAGCGGCTGTACGAGCCAGTGCCGCCGGCCATACCGGTCTCGCCCGAGCGGCGCGGTGCGGACGATGGTCTGTGAGAGCTCGAGCTGGCGCCTCCCCTCGGCGACCCTCTCGTCGCGGTACTTGTGCATCTCGTGCAGCGCGGTGTACACGTCCCGCGTCTCCGCCGCCACCCACCGCCCGCCCGGCCCGATCCCGTCCTCGTCGCAATCCCCCTCGAGGGCGGCCGCACGCGCCGCCTCGAGCGCAGCCTAAGGGAACCGCAGAGCGAGGGCGGTGACTCGGCATCCTCTCACCGAATCCGGCCCTGCGCGGCGCGCGCCTCCATCACCGCGATCTCCCCCTATCTCTCCCCCTATCTCCCCCTATCTCGCGCCTCCATCACCGCGGTGTCCTCATATCTCCCCATATCTCCCCATATCTCCCGCTACCTCCCCACATCTCGCGCCTCCATCACCGCGGCGTCCTCATATCTCCCCATATCTCCCCATATCTCCCCACATCTCGCGCCTCCATCACCGCGGCGTCCTCATATCTCCCCATATCTCCCCATATCTCCCCACATCTCGCGCCTCCATCACCGCGGCGTCCCCGGACGAGGCTGCGGCCCGCAGACCCTCCTGCGCCTACACGCCACAAGCGAGGCGAGAGTGGGCGAGATTGCGCGAGACTGCGCGGCCCTCGCAAGCCCTCTACTGCGCCGCGTCGCGCGCTGGGCCAAAGGTGTCCCGCCGGTGCTTGATCAGGTCGCGCCGCGCAACGATGCCCTCCAAGTCGGCGGCCTAACTCACGGAGAGCGAGAGTCGCGCATTGAGCCGTGACTCTTTGACGGTGCCACTCCCGATCGGCGGCCGAGAAGTCGCGTCCGTCGGAGTCGATCCCGTTCGCGGCCTGCAGCTCGAGCTCGACAGCGAGGTCGGACTCCGCCTAATAATTAATAATGATTACCTAACTAATTAATTAACAACTCGAGCTCGACAGCGAGGTCGGACTCCGCCTAATAATTAATTAAATGATTACCTAACTGATTAATTAGCAGCTCGAGCTCGACAGCGAGGTCGGACTCCGCCTAATAATTAATTAAATGATTACCTAACTGATTAATTAGCAGCTCGAGCTCGACAGCGAGGTCGGACTCCGCCTAATAATTAATTAAATGATTACCTAACTGATTAATTAACAACTCGAGCTCGATGGCGAGAGGTCGGACTCCGCCTGCTGCAGCGCCTCGCGCGACAGCACCTCCACCTGCCATGGAGGAATGAGAGATGGGGAGGGAGGAGTGAAGGAAGCGCCTCGCGCGAGAGGGCCTCCACCTGCCCGCCGCACGCTAGCGCCTCCTGCCGCTTCTGCACCTCGAGGCTAACCGCAACCTCACTCACCTCGGCCGGCAAGAGCTGCTCCCCCTCCTCGCCCGCCGCCTCGCGCTGCTCTGCTAGCTGCTCGCGCAGCGCGTGCCGCGCCTCGTCGCGCAGCGTGCGCGTCTCGCGCCTCTTCTCCTTCTCCGCCTCCTCCTCACGCTCCAGCACCCCCCTCCGCCTCGCCATCGCCTCGTCCACCGCCTTGGCGGTGTGCGGCGAGTCGCACGCGCCGTCGACGAGCACGCGCAGCAAGCCCAGCTTCTGCAGCGGCGGCAGCCGGCTGTAGACCTCGTGGGCGAGCGACGGCGACTGGCCCAGCAGCGCGCGGATGGCGGGCTCCAGCTGGCTCGCTCCGCCGCAGGCCGAGGGCAGCGCGAGGGCGGAGGCGTCACCGCCGGACGAGAGCGGCTTCGAGGGGGGCGAGGTTGGCAGCAGGCCGTCGAGCGAACCTGGAGGGGCGGAGGTGGAGCCGAGGTGGAGAGGAGATGCAGTAGAGGTGG